GCCCTGAGCTCCCAATGTTAGGTGGGGCCCGACTTGGTGTACCTAAGATTACAGATGCCCAAAACCCAACCGATCGGTAAAGACAGTTACCATAACACAGGTATAATTTTCAAAATTCGTCATCCGTGGGAATTGAACCTTAGACCTGCCACTTGAGGGTTGATAACCTATCTACTTCACTAGGTTGCCACACCCCTAAAATACATATAATTGATAATATTCATAAATAATAAAACTTATATTATTTTTTTTTAAACTCTACGATTATGTGTACGTTTGTTGTGTCCTGTTTTATCACAGATACTACATCAATAGATTCTCTTATTTTGATTTTTACATTTATGTGTTCCAACACTAATATGAGTTCATTTATTGAAATCATACAAAATAACATCTTGTTTACAGCATGTTAAACAACTTAATTTTCTACTTCTTAACATCTCAGAAAAAACAAAACTTAGAATAATTAATAGAATGAGTATATAAATAATTTTTTTATTCATACTAAAAAAAAATAAATTAATTAGTAAATATTTATATTAAAAAAAATATAAAAAGAAACATACTTGTTTTTATTTTTTTTTAATTTATTGATTAAAGAATTAAGAAGCAATATTTATAATTATTTAACTAATACAATTTTAAAAAGTACGTATTTAAAACTTATTATAAGTTATTTTAATTTTTTATTAATTTTTTATTTTTTGTTTTTTAGATGAGTAATATTTATGATACTACAAGAGAATATACAAATGCTAAAGGAACTGTAAAAATCAATGATTATACTGTCAATATTGTATTTGATAGTAGTTGTTCAGAATCTTCTATGCCTAATCATATTAGAGAATGACTAGGATTAGAAATTACTGATTTTAGATATTCAGCATCAATGATGTCTAATGGCGATAAAAAAACTTGTCATAGAATGTTAAATGTTGATATTGAAATTGAAGGAAAAATTGTTAATTTTCTGATTAAAATAGTTGATTCTGTTAAAGATCATCTTTTGTTAAATACATTTTTTTTATGACTACACAAGCAAAGCTTAATTATAAAAAATGAATATTGAAATGAAATATAATCATGAAAAATTTTTTGAATTCTTTACTATTTCAAAATAGATTTTTTATATTTTATGTATAAATTTTTAAATAATTTGTTGTTGTGTAACAAAAATTATTATAAAAGATAAATAAATTTTATTTTGATAAAGAATTATTTTTAATAAACATGAAAGCTTTAAAGAATTTTAAATACAAACAAAAATATAAATATTTAAAAAAAGAAAAAAAAGAATTAGAAAATTATTATGAAGACGAAGTTGAAGAATTAGAAGATAAATTGAATTTTTTAAAAATTGAAAATGAAGAATTAAAGAATAAATTTTATACAATTGAAAAACTTAAAAAAAAACAAAAATCATATACTTGTCAATGTAATGTAAAAATTAATAATATTGATACTAATGTTTGTATTGATTCTGGTTGTGACAGAATGAGTTTTATGACAATGAAAAAAGCAAAGAAATTAGGATTAAAAATTAAACCAGCCAATAAAAATAATTATTGTATAGGTGTTGGTGGTCAATCTAAAATCAAAGAGGTTAGTTTTACAACAATTGAATTTGATGGTATCAAATTTCCTATTACTTTGAAATAGGAAATACAACTAGTATTTTAATTAGTTGTAATTTTTTAAAATGTTATAATGCTGAAATTAATTTAAAACTGAATATTTAAAATTAATACACAATAATAAAACTATTAAAATTAAACTTGATATGTATTAGTTTTATTTTTATTTAAATAAATATATACTATATTATTATTATTATTATATTTTTTAAATTATTATATATTATCTATAGATTGAATAATAAATAATAATTATAAAAGAAGAAATTAAAAACTTTAAAAAATTTAAACAAAAAATGGGTAGAACACATACAAAACCAAATAGAAATGCTAAATGTTCATCAGTTGCATGTGAAAGTTATAGAAAAACCAAAATATGATGTGTGATTGATGATAATAAAATATGTAAAAATTGTACAAAAGTTGAGGCAAATTGCATTATTCTTGAAAAATCAAAATGGGGTCTAACAAAAAAGGAGAAATTAAAAGAAACAACATAGATATGAAAATAATATAAAAGATATGAATGTTTTTCTGATAATGAAAAAAAATCTTCAAAAATTTATACAAAAATGTCTTCATACAATTCTTATACTGCTGTTGCATCTGGTTCTTTGTATCATACATCAAGTGGACACATTTCACCAAACCAAGAAGAACTTTATTCTTCTTCAGATGAATATCCAGCATCTTTAGATAAAATAAATTTTTTTATCGATTGTTCTTGGATAAAGTTTAATTTTTTATTTATACTATTTTAGAATCTACAATAACTGATACTTATGTAAATCAAGCAACAAGAAATTTAAAATGATACAAAAGAATGTTTTGGATTCTTTTGTTTTCTTTGATTATTGTAGTTTGTTTATATTTTGCTTCTCAGAATAAAATATCAATTTTAGAAGCAGAAAAAAATGATTTGTACAACAAATATTTTGATGTGTACAATAAGATTATTGGTATGATAGAAAGAAATAATGGTTATCTTATTTCTATAATAGAGAACAATAACAAATTACTTCATAATAAGATAGCACCAATCATATAATTTAATTTTTTTTTCGCTTTGTAATTATTATTTAATTGTACATAAAAGTTTCTTTTTAAATAAACTATTTTAGTAAAATAACTTTGTAAGTCTTATCTTCGTACTAAACTAATAATATGGCTTTTGTAAGTCTTATCTGTGAACTAAACTATTTTTAGTAAATTTACTTTCGTAAGTCTTATCTTTTAATTAAATTTTTTTAGTAAAATGGCTTTCATGAGTCATAACTTTGAATTAAACTATTTTAGTAAAGTATTTTAAAAACATTTTATTTTATTTTATATATATACAAGCAAATTTTTAAATATTTTGATATTAATTGAATATTATATTATAAATTTATAAAATGATTTCACCTATAGTTATATGCATTTTGGTAACAGCTAATATTATTGTATTAGGTCTTAATATATTTCAAGATATAAAAAAAAATAAGTAAGAAATTTTATTTATATGTATTTTTATTAGCAATAATTTTTAATATTATTTTTAATATATTAGAAGAAATACATATTAAATTATAAGAAAGTTTTTGAATTATTTGATAAAGTTAAAAATATTTTAAACTATTTTAGTAAAATGACTTTTAAGAGTCATTTTTAAATTAAACTATTTTAGTAAAATGGCTTTCATGAGTCTTATCTATAAACTAAATTATTTTTAGTAAAATGACTTTCATGAGTCTTATCTATGAAATAAATTATTTTTAGTAAAATAGCTTTTGAATTAAATTATTTTTAGTAAAATGGCTTTCATGAGTTTTATTTGCAAACTAAACTATTTTTAGTAAAATGGTTTTTATTAGTCATATCTTTGAATTAAACTATTTATAGAAATTATTATTTCAAAAAAAATTTTATTAAATCAAATATATTTATTTATTAATAATAATTTATTTATAACATTATTCATATTTAATAATTTTAAAATAATAATATAAATAAAAAAATGAAACGAAAAAAAAAACTTTTAGAAATTTTACATATCAGATCTAAAAGAAAAAAAAATATTCAATAAAAATTTTTAGTATAGTTCAGGAGTAGAAATATTTTCATAATTTCTAAGTTGAGTTTGTAAATCTCTAATAGTTTGTTCTAAACGATTAATAATTTATTGCATAAGATCTGTTTCATGTTTATAATTTCTTTCTTTTTCTTCTTTTTCATATTTATGAGTTTTTTCTTGATTTTTCAATCTTTCACCATATTCATATTCATGTTTTTTTCTTATTTCTTCAATTCTTTCAACTTTCTTTTTATAGTTTTCAATTGTAGACATTAAATTTGTTATTTCATTTGTCTTTGTATTAATTAATTCTTGATAAAGACTGATCTCATTAGCATGGTTTTCTTTTATTTTTTGTTTTTGTTTATTAAATGCTGTCATTAGTTCATTAACTTTTGCTAAAAGTTGGTTTTTTGTCATATTATTACCAAACATTTTTTCTGGCAACAAGTTACATATAAAATTGTAAAATTTTGACATTTTTATAATAAAATTTTATATAACAATAATAGTTGATAAGAACTTGAAGTTTATTTATAGTTAAACAATTTATGATAAATATATATATATAATATAATGTGCAGTTTATTAATCATTTAAAGTTTTCTTTATTTATGATATATCTGAATTAAATAATTTAATTCAAATACATCATAAATAAAGAAAACTAACAAAATAAAATATTTTACATTCTATGTGAATCTAAAAAATTAATAATTCTATCTAA